GATAAAGCAAAAGCATATTTAAGTTGGATTTCTTCAAGAAATACTAGTAAAGAAAAAAATCCAATACTTGGAATAATATATTCAGAGTAAGGAAATAGAATCTGAGACAAATGATGTTTATTTTGTTCAAATTTCATGAGATTATTTTTTGCTTCCCTGGTTTTTCTTTATCTTTGTTAATACTGTAATTAAAAACACATTTGGGTAAATACAGGCATCCTTCTTCCCACTGGCTGATTTTCAGCCTGAATCACAGCGGCATGGTTAAGACAACCCCAAATCATAATGAATCAATTTTAACATATTTGCAAGGTTTGAAAAAACTAAGGGCTGCTAATGGAGGAAATGCAAGCACTTAACTTCCACTCTCAGGAAAAAACCACTCAGGTTGCAGTAATAATGCAGATATCCTTTTTTTTAAAAAAAAAATAGAACCAGGATGTCTTTCCACAGCAAAGTGATATTTTCTTCCCCTAAGCAGTAGTGGCATCCACTTCCTAAATAACACACTTCTGCAAACTCTATGAACTTGGATAAATTTCAATAGTTGTGGAAGGGCTTCAAGCCTTTTTTTCATAGGGTCACTAGGAGTCATGCTCAACTCGAAAATAATCAACAACAACAACAAATTCATTTCAGAATTAAAATTGAAGCATCAAACATTCATGGTATCAATTGATACTTAAGAGACAATCCTGAAAATGACAAATAGTATATTGTGCATATGCTTCCATTATTGTTATCGCTAGCTGCTGACTGATGGGTCTGACTCATGATGACACCTGTAAATATCTACAGGCACAACCTGCAACAGCCCCACGACTGGCTTCAAACCAGACTACTGTGAGTCATAAGGTTTTCATGAATTGATTTTCAGAAGCAGATGGCCAGCTCTTTCTTCTGAATCAAGCTTTCCTGAACACTGATGAGCACCATAGCAACACACAATCCTCCACTGACCAAGAGATGGTGCCTTTGTATGGTGGTGTTGTCATTGTCAGATGCTGCCAAATCAACTATGACTCAAACCTGGCCCAATCCTGCACCATCCTTAAAATCTCCACTGTAGTTAAAGCCATTGTTGCAGTCACTGTGTCAATCCATAATCCATCTTGTGTCTTCCTCCCTTTGACCCTTCACATTTCCAAACAAGATGAATTGCATTGGGAAAATCTGCTGTCAGGGACCTCTCCAGAGTGGTGAAAAACAATGTCAGTCTATTGACTAAGGTGCACCTGATCCAGGCCATAGTCTTCATAACTACTCACTATGCATTAGAGAGCTGGACAATGACTAAGGATGACAGAAGAAGAATAGATGCCTCTGAGCTGTGGTGCTGGAGAAGAGTCTTGAACATACATACCATGTAACACCAAGAAAATAAACAGGTCTGTCCTAGAGAGGGTGTGTCAGAGGCCTGGCTAACTTGCAAGGCAAGACTAGCACTACATTTGTAAAACAAGCAGAACTGATTCCATCTTGGCTAGAACCATCTCGAACAAAAACCTAAATGAGATAATGTGATTACCCCTGCAGGTGTGTCGAGATAATGTGATTACCCCTGCAGGTGTGTTTTTCGGAAACCTATATAAGCCTTTTTAGAGATAATAAAAAGAGGGATTTGTGATCAAGGAGGATGCTCTCTGGATCTTCATTGTCCCTTGTCCCTTGTCCCTTCTCTCGGTGGAACTGTTTGGATATATCAGGGCAGGACCTCAATAGGTGAAACCAAGTTTCTCCTTGGAAACTAGGACTTTAAAGTACAGTTGAAATGGGTAGTGAGTTTGGTTTTAAATAATAAAGGGCAGGAGGAGGTGGTCTTGAGTTTCCCTGTCCTGACCCCAAACAAGTACACTGGTGATCTGCGTGCTGAACAAAGTGAGTGTAATAGACATAGTTGGTTTTTTTTTTTTCTTTAGAAACTTAAACAAAAAATATTAAAGCATTTAATCAACAAATATTAAAATACATATATAAATTATGTATTAGAAAGTCAACAAATACTGAGGATAAACATAAAATATCTATATAAACAAGTCAATATGTAAATACTGCTTTGGGAGAAGGTTGAATTGCATCAGGCAGTACATTACTGGCATGTATGGGGGAGATACAACTAAACATGCTACAATGCACAGGACAGCCACCTCCCACACAACGAGTACTCCCACATAACGAGTACTTGCAGTGTGGAGGCTAAGAATCCTGTTCTAGTTGCTTTGTGCTGGTTAAAGCTAATACCTCTTTCCAGAGATGCAGCAATACAACAGGCTGTAGAGAAGTCAGGAGGCAAGTCATGAAGCCTGAGGTCCACAATTCACTCTGCTGAATGACTTTGAGTTTCCCTGACTGAGTTTGTGTTCCTCCAGTTGTAAAGGGATGAATGTACAGAATGGTAAGATTCCTTTCATTACTAATGTTCTGTGATGGCCGTAAGTACATTTTGGGGAAGCTGCACAGATCCTTACAGATTATTTGCCAAATTCATTCTTGGCCACAGCTGAAAGGAACAGGAGGCTACTAAACTCAAATTGGACCAATTATGCTTTTCTTCCTCAGAAGTAAAATTAGAGTTGGATGGGCACTTTAAGAGGGATGGGAGAATGATGTACAATGAAAAAAGGAAACAAGACTATTCTACAAAGACAAATAGAACAGATGTGCGAATTCAATCAGTACTAGGAGACCAGGAACACCAGAGAACCAGCAGGTTTGACTCTAGTTTATGGTGCACACTTGAGTTCTTGATCCCAGTGCCTTAGAAGAATACATCCCTTATTCATTCATTAACCATAAAGAACTGCCTCCTCTATTTCATGCATTCTTTTATGTTTTAGGGATATATTTGTGAATAAAAGACAAAGCATCACGATAATTCTAGATTTTATATTGGAGAAGAGGGAGAAAACATACTTTCACAAGCATCAGGGCATAAAACGGACTAGGAAAACAAAGAGTGAGAGGAGAGAAACTGAAGGCCGATCATGGAAGCACATGACATTTGAGCAAAAGGTGAATTACATGAGCATGGAAACCCTCCCTCACTTCAGGGAGGAGCTGTCCAGGTGGAAAAGAGAGCTCTGCCAATTCTTCAGACAGTCATGTGCTTGGGATTTAAGGTGCAGCTGGTTTTTATCGTTTGTGCTCAAAGTCTGGCCATCATTGAGAGAGATTTCCCATGTGGAGGGCTGGGCCTTCCAGGATATGGAATTTCCAAAGACCAAAGATTAAATGATTCTCACCTTCACTTAGGAGGGCCTTTAAAAAAAAAAAATAGATCCTAGGATACTCAGATGTTCTCACATCTTTACATATTTACATATGACTTAATAATATTTAGGATATTATCTAAGCTCTTAAGCTGGCACAGGATAGAGCATGTTTCAGGGCTATTGCCCATAGGATCGCTATGAGTCGCAAGCGACTTGACGACACACACCACCACCACCACCACCACCACCACCACCATCACCACCTTTTCATTTACCATAACTTGGTGCGTTCTAATCTTTCTGAGTCCATCTCCAACTCTAAATTGGAACACTTTATCCACTACACATCCCTGAAAATTTTTCCTTATTATTTTTGCTATTGCTCCACAATCCCAAAGGTGTATGGTTTGAATCCACCGTTTGCTGTGCAGCAGAAGGATGGGCAATCTCCTTCTTGTGCCATTTACAGCCTCTGAAAACCCTCTGGAGGGTCAGTTATGAGTCGTTAGGTCTGACTCATAACACACACAGACTCACTCAGCACACAAAAAGATGAACAATAGCAACATATCAACCTTAAAACATCCTTTATGTTGGCTAATTGGTATTCTTTTTTTTTCATTAATTTCAATGAACATTTACAGAGATTTTGGATTTCCATTCATTGTTGCACTTTTCTCCCCGCCCACCCCCACCCACCCCCAGTTCGCTCTTCTCTTTGAAAAGTAAAAGAAAAATTCCTTCATTGGTACACAATCCCCCAGCACTCCCCACACCCATCCCGAGTATCTTCCACTCTGCAACCTTCATTCCGGACTCTTATGATAATCATAATGCCCTAAAATATATTGCTTTTAGACTGGATGAATTATGTATACTGCATTGAAACCGATGAACGAGAGAACAGTTTAAAAGCTAACTGATATTCTTAAATTGCTATTAGCTTCTGCGCCGCTATAATCTAAGCTTCACAAAGACAGTGATTTTTCCCTCCTGTTTACTATTAGAACTCCCTTACGTCGTGTCCAATTCACACTAGCCAAATGCAATGGAGTAGGAATGCTCCACACGACTTCTAAGGCTATACCATTCGCACAAATAGATCACCAAGTCTTTTCCCTGTGGAGCTCCTTGGCGGATTCAAATTGCTCACCTACTGGTTATCAGCCAAGTGATTAACCATTGAGCAACCAGGGTTCCTACTTGGCACAGTCTCAGGAAATTTTTGCTGAGACGATGGAATGTTGCCAAGGATATACTTCTACTGTTTGAGAAGGGATATTGAGTCTGTGGGGTAGTATTTCACTGGGTGAAGACAACTTTCTTAAAGTGGGGCTGGCTCTAATCTCGTTAGTTACAGAGCAAGCATTTACCAATCATCTTGGATATAGTCACCTAATGACTCCTCATTGCTTCCAACAGAACCGCTGTATGTTCTCTGGAGTATAGAAACTGGAGGAAAGGACACAGAGCAGCTTGTCTTGTCTCCATGACTAAACATATTCTTTTCCTAGCAGGTAGGGCAAAGTCAGAAGGAAAAAAAGCTACAGGACTTTTTTTTTGTAAATCACCTTCATAGTGGCTATTTCACAATTTGTTACATTTCTCTTTAGTTATTCTCTTGAAAATGTTTTAATAAGTAATTAAAAAAACCAATATTCAATTCAAAATGACTCCCCAACCTTCTTAAACAATGCCATAATTTACATCTTTGAAAAATGCCATCCCCTGAGGTATGGCCAATACTCCTGACTCTGTCTTCAACTTGAGATTGTTATATGATCCTACCTGCAACGTCAAACTCGATTTCCAGTGTGACCTTGTTAGTGACAGAAGAGTCTCGAAGGAGCTGATTGGCTTCCTCAAAGGTGCTGTCTTCAGTTGGGATTCCATTAATGACCATCACTCTGTCTCCAATCTGTAGCACTCCACATCTAAATTTAGAACATGTTAAGAGGTTGTAGACAGAATTAAAAAAAAAATACTGAGTGGAAGTTGCTATATTTACTTTATGTAATTCTTGTACAAAAGCGTCAACAATTTTGTATTTAATCAATACTATGGGTTTCAAAAGGTTATCACATGCTGAAAAATCTATCTTGATTAATTATGGTTCCATATGTGCAGAGCTGAAACCTATCATCCCTGGATGGACTCGAACCATCAACCTTTTGTCTAGGAGTGGAGAACTTAACTGTGTGATGCAGGGGTCATATTAGGTTACTGCACTGTCTTGCACTCTTGGACGATTTCATGGCTACTTATGTGAGCAAGGAAATCCTGAAGCATTCTAGACAAGTAAATAATAATTCAGCACCACGACATTTGTTAGAATCTCGTCTGAACCAATAGATAGTGGTGAGTGTACAACTCTCCAATGGCAGAGAAATTATTAAAGTCTGAACTTAAGATATTTTTATGGATTTTTCTCTTTTTTAATTAATATAGCCTCTGGTCTCCTGATGGATAGACTCTTCTAGATAAAGGCATCCATGCTTGTTATTCTTCTCAAACCTGATCAAGAACATAAAATTTTATTGTCAGAACAGGGAGTTCATTATATCTTGCATTTCCTGTACTGTTTCATAATTTATTAGCCACTCAGAGCTAGCTAGCCAGTACTGGGAATGCAGAACAGAGTAAAGTTGTGAAAGAAAGCCTCTTACCTCTCTGCTGGGCTGTCAGCTTCAATGTAGGAAATCAGAGGTGGGGAAGAGAGTGTCTCCGTGGCAAACACACTGCCCTGCAGTTGTATTCCAAATCCTGTGACCGGATCAGCTGTCAGCACCACCTCCGTTGTTTCTGTGTGGACTACCTGCCCAGCCAAGCCGACGGTACTGGAGGCTAAAGACACTGTAGGGAGCAAATATGAAAACCAGTGACCTTCAGTTAGAACAAACCTGAAGACTGCCAGACTTTCCCGAAGAGATCTCGGAGACAAAGGCTCATTCACAGTGGTTGCAGGTTAAATGCTGGCCTTCTCCAAAAAGGTTAGCTAGAGATAAACAAGATAAACAAATCGCCCAATATTTGTTACATTTAGGCCATGTAACACCTATAGAATCTCCTCCCAGAATGTGCCTGCATTCTCATCTCAGCTCTTTCACTAAGCAATCAGGTGGGTGACTGACCTTCAGGAAAGCCACTTAACCTCTTGTTGTGTCCATATACTATATAGGTGGGACAAAAGCACTGGGTTGGATGGTCTTAAATTGTTTGTTTTAAACTTTAATCTTCTGTGCTTATGGGTATTCTACCACCAGTTTGGGAACTTTCTTTATAAAGAAGAAAAAGTTTATTTTATATTGGTTTGCTTACAAAATTCTTATACATTGTGTTTTACACAATCCCTCATTCATATTGTTTCCTATAATCATTCCCATTCAACATATTTTGTGAAATTAACCAACATTGAACTATGCCACCATTACCCTGTCTTTCCAGATCTCTGCAAGATCTTTCTCATTTCCTTTAACCCATCTCCCTTTACTCACCAAATTGTGTGACCCTATAATTACTCCCCCAGCCCATCCTCACCCCTCTGCTCCCAGCCTTTCCGCCCTTAGATCCTCATACACATTTTACTAGTTATCTACTTCTACAATAATTGTCTTATACAATATTTGCTTTTAGTTCACTCACCATAATGTTCTCCAGTCCCTCCCAAATTATGTAGCAATTTTAAAAATAATTTCTTCCAAGTGCTGTGTAATATTCCATCATGTGAATGTACCACCATTTCTCAATTCATTCAGTTGTGTTTGGACGTTTGGGTTGTATCCATGTTTTTACAATAATGAATAATGCTACTAATAACATTGATGTACAAATCTCCACTTGTGTCTCAGTTCTAACTTTCTTGGGGTATATTCCAAGCAGAGGAATGGCTGGTTAATATGGAATTTCTACCTTCAGTTTTTCGAGCAAATGCCAAACTGCCTTCCAGAGTGGTTGTACCATTTTACAATCCTAACAACAGTGTATGAGAGTTCGAATCTCTCCCCTTCTCTCCAACATTAATTTTTTGTTTGCTGCTAAACTTTGTCATTGCTACTGAGGTAAGATGGTATCTCATTGTGATTTTTATTTGCATCTTTCTTATTGTCAGTGATTTGGAGCATTTCTTCATTGTGTCTGTTGGCCATTTGAATGTCTTCCTCTGTGAAAAATCTTTCCAAGTCTTCTGCCCATTTTGTAATTGTCTTTTGTAATTGTCTTGTTATTAGTCTTTTTCTTATGGAGGTCCTGTAGGATTACACTTTTGTTATGAGACCCTTCTCTGAGATGTTATTGTTTTTTTCCCAGTGAGTAGGTTTCCTTTTTGTCCTGCTGGAGAAACTTTTTGATGTGCACAGGGTTTTAATATTTAGAAGGCCCATTCATTCCTCAATTTTCTCCTCTCCTGATTGTGTATTTTTGGCTACATTTGTCAGTGTGTTTATAGCATGGACAAAGTTTTCTAAGGTTGGTCCCACTTTGTCTCTTACAATTGTTATGGTTTTGGACTTTACTCCTAGATCTTTGATCCATCTTGAGTTGATTTTTGTTACCACCAGTTTTAACTTTGCTTCCTGGTAATGGTGAGGTTATGCCAGTGTTCAACCTTACTACTCTAGTATTGGTTGACATAACAGAGCTGTTTACATTTTTCCTGAAATTCTTCCAGCCCCTAAATTTGATCTTTTCAGACTTTTTTCTCTCCCCTTAGTCTCCATCCTACTCTTAGCTTCTATTTCATTCATACCTCTGGTATTAAGACTCCAGTCATACATCTCTTTACTTGTCTTGTTCCCAGCCCTAACCGAGGTCAGGGAAGAGCTGGACCATCCCAGGATGTCTTTGTTCCAACTGTATCTACTGGGACCTGGCCATCTGTGCTGTGTTCCAGAGAACAAACTTCCAACAGGGTTCTATGCTGAATCCTTATCTTTTCCTAAAGAGAATGCTTGGCCTGCTTACTTCAAACATGATGAAAAATCTATCTCAAATCCCTGTCCAGTAAGAGGCTGTTTCCCTTCAAATTTCCTGCATGGAGCAAGGAGAGAGACTGGTTTCTACTCCTTGCTCCCGTATGCAAAGCCTTCCCCTCTAGTCTCTTCTGCTAAACGTGCTGTCTTCTAGGCTTATTTCTCATTCATGTCATCTTCAAACTCACTGTCTTTTCACTTGGAAAATATTCACTCAATTTCCTTACTGACTTCAAGACTGTTGCTTTGTCTACCTCCCTTAACCTGTTATCAGTCCATGTCCTCATCATCTTTGACAACAACAGTGATAACTTTCCAGTATGCTGACGTTAAGTCTCTTTAATGTTCTCAGTGTCAGTTACCATCAGTTCTCCTCTATTATAGCTCTCTGCTTTCAGAGCCCTATGCTGGATTCCCTCTTCCTTCAAAAACGGAAAGAGGAGCAAGACCTCCATATCTGAATCATAATCTCATTACTCATACCATATTGTCCAGTTGCCCAGTTCCTGCTGATGTAATTATTTCCCCCTTTTATGATGTCAAAGCTCATTCTTTCTCACTTGCCTGTTAATACCCCATTTTAGCAACAGCTTTTCCATTCCCTTTCAGGTAAAAGCATAAAATGAAAGCCTTTACATACCGTTTTAAAATAGACGATTGCAAACGAAGTAAGAATGGGAAACCTAAGATCCCTCCCCCACTATTCATGGGGGAATTGGAGGAACACAGTTTAAAAGTCATACCTTCACCCATTTCCTTCTACTGGTTTTATCTCCACATGCTACCTAAGCAGAGCTGGCGGCCTAGTGGTAAGCAGTTGTGCTGTTCACTTAAAGGAAAGTGGTTTGAATCCATCAGTAGCTTCATGGGAGAAGATGGATTGTATATAGTGATTTCTAGTAATTTATCTGACTTACGGACTCTGAAAATATGCTGGAGGGTGAGCTATGAGTCAGTTCCAACTTGACAGCCACACATAACAATCTGAGGTGACCATATCAATGATACTTCCAATATCACAAGAGTATTAGAGACTCTTCAATCCTCCATGATTTTCTATCTTTTAATATTCAATATGCTTTGAAAATTCCCCATCAACTCTTTTCATTGCTGTCTCTTTTTTGCATATTTTTTATTATTAATTTTAATAAACATTTACAGAGGTTTTGGATTTCCATTCATTCATTGCCACACTCTTCTCCCTGCCCATCCCTTCCCACCAGTTTGCCCCCCTCTCTAAAAAGAAAAAGAAAAGAAAAAAAAATTCCTTCATTGGGGGAATTGTATATCATTGCTGTTTCTTATTTGCCTACACATACTGGGCGGGGGTGGGGGGAAACCCTACAAATTGACATTATTTTGTGTTGGGTCCTAGAATCCTTTGTAGTATCACACTTTGATATCTTTTTTGATGTCTTATAGTTTGTCTCCAACATTTCCTACCCTTGTAAGTGTGAAACTTCATACGTCAACTTATGGCCTACAAGACTAAGGTCCAAGCATTTTACAAGATTTCCTTCAGTAACTTTCTTTTCCTCCTTAATTGCTCTGTATCATCACATGTTCTTTCTCCACTTTCTTTCTTCCATTTCGAAGATAATGCCTTTTCGTGTCCTTGCTACTTTCTCTTACCACTCTTCCTGTGTTTTTCTGCCATAAATACCAGTCCTTCTGCTGTGTCTCCAAACTGTCCTATGCATTCGTTGAGGTGCTTGGCCTCTGTTTGATTTGCACAGAATAGTTGCTAGCTTAACATTTGGCTTTTCCTTTCTCCCTTTATGAAACTGTTCTCGGGGCAGTCATTAATGACTATTCAATTGCCAAAATCAATAGTTGCATAATAACCAGTCCACAGCCGCCGGCTTCTGTGACCACCCACTTCTTTTTGAAATCGCTCTTGGTCTCAGTGGAACTGTGTTCTTAGATTCCTCCTTCTGGACTCCTAGCACAGAGTTCCCACAATTTCGCATCTCCTCTCATTCCTTCATGCTTTCACTTTGAACCTTTCTAACACAAGCAATGCATGAATCTTCTCAAATCTGCCCAGAGTCATTCAAGGTCCAGTTCTGAATTGTCTCACCTTGTTGACACGTCAAACTCAACATTTCAAAATGAAATGATTCAGTCTGTTCCTCATTGCTATTGTTACTGCCATCAACGGAATCATCATGGGTATAATCCTCCTGACTTGAAATCTCAAAGTAGTCATGAACTTAAAAAGTCATTGTCTTTTCAAACATCATGAATCATGAAATCTTTCCAAGACAATCACAGGAATACATTTTTACAAATACTTTTATTTTCTTTCCTATTGTCAGTAGCTCAGTCAGTCTTTCATTACATTTTATCTTAATTAATTAATTCCATCCTCTCATGCCCAATGCATTCTACAGGAAAACTTCAAAATAGCTTTATAATAACTAGTAGAGATTATTACACATAGTTTGTTTTTTGTCAATGAAATATCAGATTTTACTAGAGTATACATGTTTAAACATCAAATAATGTGTCAGTTTAAAGTACTTGATACACACACACACACACACATACACACACTGACTATTATTGAAAAGTGATATTTTAAAAAGTTATCCAGGGGGATAAATGGAATAATTAATGGAATAATTCTCTTTGCCATCATAACTAGTTTAACTTCCTTTCTCATCGCAGTCAAGTTGTAGGGACTCATAGCTGAGTATCTAGCAGGTTTCCGAGGCTATAAATCTTGCTGTTTCTCCTTCAACCCACTGGTGGACTCAAAGTGCCGGAAAAGTGTGGCCTTTGGATTAGCAGCACTGCTCCCTTCCACTGTGCCACCAGAGTACCCTTTAACCTCTTTTACTGGAGTTTACCCTCTCTTACCAAAAACAGTTGGAAACCCTGACT